TTATTATAATTGGTATATTTCAACCTACAAAAACTTCAATACAAAACTACAATGGATTAAGGGGTTAAGTAATTATATTATTTCTTAGTTACTGAAATTTTCATCACCTATATTTATCAACTTCATTATCGTGAATCACCTTACACTAATGTAAAGTCAATGATAACATGTGTGAAAATTCCTTAAGTTACACAAAGAAGCAACAAACAGTCACTGAAAAACTGCTCCTACACAATCGACAATCAATCAATAAGAAAATAAAGAAACTGAGTTAAATAATTGTACCATTTCTGAGTAACTGGGATCATATAAATCTTCGTCAGGTGTCCACTCATCAATGCCAAGCTCTGGTAGTGATCGAGAACCATTAGCATAAAGCCAATTTCCTTTCTCAACTTTCCGACAGTTTGGGCATTGCATCACTCCTTTAGCATTAAAAGCTGATCCAATACAATCTGCCGAATATGGAAATAAGGAGTCAAATTCGATGGAGTGAGTCAAATTCGATGAATTGCTAAATTGAAAGGTTTCAAGTGTAGTAACACAAGTTAACTGTGCATTTACTTTGTAATATATATTTGTCTAGATAAAAGGCAGTCAACAACAGGGCCATAAAAACCATTTCAATCGATATGTTATCATATAAGAACCCATGTAATTTCCATCCAATTTTCTATGCAAAAAATTGTAGTTTTACGGTTTTACCCTTACATGCATGATATTTGTTGTGCGCCAATGTGTAAAATTTTACATGTATAGTTACTACAATCTTTTGGCGACTCAAAACCAAGTATTAATCATATGCTATGTTACCTGGGCATTTCTAATATGACGTCGTACATGTACCTGACACGTACTCGTACCCAAACTCCTTGGACAATCTTTGCATGCATGCCACATTTATTCGGGCATGTATTCAATTCATAGTTGCGCGTTTCCCTTGACTCCCCCTCGAACCGTCGTACAATTCCTATGAACTAATTTCCAACACATTTGCAAACTGATTCCCTCCGATACACGAATTGGTTCCTTAAAAATTGGCGTAGCACTTATAAGTATGTGGGGCGCAAAATCCCTTTAAGTGTATGATGTGAAACAATGTGTATGCAGGTATGAAGAACAACGACAACAATGTTTTACCAAATCAGCGACCGATCTAGACAGGAAACTTGAGAAGAAAGTGAAGCTCTAGATGGTTTTTAAACAAAAGTTACAAATGTACTAAGTTTACGGCCTTGTAAATTACTCAGAAAAATAAATGTAATGATTCGTTCTCGTAAATAAAGTTCGATTTGTAATATTTAGGTCAGCAAATATACGCGACAACAGAATCACTCGCTCACTAATCAAACAGAATACAACACAATCGCGATTGATATTAAAATTGACAATAACATGCACGCGAAAGCAATTCCTAAAATACTAGGTCGAAAGAAAACAAAACCTTCGTCGGTCTAAACTGGTTCGACGTGAAGGAACTCTGAAGGCGGTGTGACGACACCGAATATGAGAGGAGGAAGTTCTCCTCCGAGAGCTACGTAACTGGGATGAAGCGGCGTGTCCGAGTGGAAACGTCTGTGCCACGAACTAATGCCAAAACGACTCTCCACACTATCAGCAATCTGAGGAGTCACACGCTCAATATATCCGGCTAGGGTATCGAAAGGCTGGAAGTCAAACCACTGAGAGAGCTGCAAATCGATCACGACGGTCTCTAGGTCATACACGAATTGGGCGTCTTCGGTTGTAAGATCGGCCATACACTAATGGGCCGTGGAATCAGAACTCAAATCGACGATGAATGCAGTGACGATCTGAACGACAACGACGACGACGAACTGAGCGACGAGGCGGATGTAACTGTCAGTGTTGGCGGGGTTGCTCATGGGGGAGGAGAGCAGGGGAATCGGCGGCAGGGGATGAGGTGGTGGCTTCTTTGAAGCTACAGGGATTTCGGTGGGGATGGAGAAGGAGCAGGGGAGGCGGCTGCTTATGGTGGCTGGCGTGATGGACGATCCGGGGAGGAGTGGCTGCTGGGGAGGATAAAAGAGAAGACAGGGAGGCGGTCTGGATGTCAGGTTGCCTGAGGGTCGAGGGGATCAAGGGAAAGAGCAAAAGGGGTGGCGTTAGAGGTCGGAGAGGAAAGAGCAGGGGCGAGAAGTATAGGGTCGGTGGCTGTGGGGAAAAAGAGAAGGGTTAGGGCGGCGACTTATGGAAGAGTGGCTGGCTGGGGTTCTGCGGGTTGTGAACACGAGGAAAGGAAGTGGAGGTGGTGGTCAGAAGTGATGAAGAAGAACAGAGAAGATTTGGCGGCTGTGGAAGAGGAACAGGACCGGCCTAGGGTTTCACACCCTTGAAACGGTTTCAGGGCCTGTTTGTTTCGCAAAGAATTGCAGAAAGTGGGGGAAAGAAAATGAATTTTGATGTTTTTGTTTACTTTTTGATGTTTGGTTCGTCAAAATTCGAAAAAAAAGTGAGGGAGAAAATGAGTTGTCACCATATTATTGGATGAGATGAGTAATTTTTAATGTTTTCCTCCACTTTCTTTATTTTTTATTTTTTCTTGTTTCTTGTGTTTGGTTTATTCTTAAAACTAAGAAAATAAATGACAAAAAATGAGCTGTCATTATATTATTGGATGATGTGACTCATACTTAGGAAAATCAATTTTCTTATTTTTTTAGAGGAAAGGGATGAAAGGAAATTTTAATGAGATGTGATGAGTTGTCACCATATTATTAGATGATGCGAGTATATTTTAAAGATGGTAAAAAATGAAGAAAAATTGGGTGAGGTGAGTTAGATGAGTTGATTGATGTGACTCATTTTTTGTGTTTAGTTTATTTTTAAAAGTAATGAGTTGATTGATGTGACTCATTTTTTGTGTTTAGTTTATTTTTAAAAGTAAGAAATGAGATGTGATGGGATGAGTTGTCACAATATTATTGGGGAGTTTATTTTTAAAAGTAAGAAATGAGATGTGATGGGATGAGTTGTCACAATATTATTGGGGGAAAGTGAAGAAAGTGAAGGAAAGAGGGTTAAAGAAAGTAGGGGAAAGTGAAAAAGTGAAGAAAACTGGGTTTGGATTCTTGGGGAAACGAAACAAACAGGCCCTCACAGCAGTCTCAACAAATTAGGTCAACAATTTTTAAAATTTTCATTAACAATTCTGATTATAGCAGTCCCTTAAATAGAAAAGAAAATACATATTGGAAATCTCTCAAAATCAATCAATTACTAAAACTGAATAACTACCAAATCTAAACCACAATTCAAATTTTAAATCTAAACTACTAAAGCTGAAATAACTACTAAATCTAAAATCAAAACCACATAGTAGGGATCCGATACAAAGCTAAAACACAGCGTCTCATGCGCTAATAAACACGGTGAAAATTTTGTGCATATGCATGTATGTCCGCATCAGTGTACATGCGCAAGACATGATGCAATATGAGCAATCAAGTAAAGGGAGGTGCACAATAGAACATATGAATCAATGAATTTATTATAACTAAATATCTATGCTAATAAAACGCCAAATGAAGCCATCATCCGAACACGAACTATGTGAAAACAGAGATAGAATAGAAGAATGAACTCCATAAAAAAGAAGCATTTGAGTATTTTGTATGAAAAATATTGAAATGCATAATTAGCTTTCTACTTTCTGGTTATCTACTATACGCTTGGAAAATGGTAAACGGAGCCAAAGAAATTTGATAATGTACCAATGACCGAACTTGCGTACAAAAGCAACCTCCCCCGTGCCCCCCCCCCAAATCGAATCCAACTTTTCTAAGTGACGAAATGCGTACCCGCATTCATACCATGACCCGCTATGTACTACATATTGTATAACTATGATTCAATTATACAATACATGTTTTAATTTAAAACAGTTGTCATACATTTTTAGGATATATATCCTACACTTCACAACCATTTCTTGAAAATCGTTAAACATAGGTCAGCTTTCGAACTATGATTTAAAGGATCGTTTGGATGTCTAGTTCAATAACTAGTGATTTTTCCAATTTGTAATCCACATAATAAAATAAACACAAAATTTTTATCGAAATTTTAATTATCATCCTTCTTCTCACATAAATTATCAAATCCAATATATAATATAGGTTATATAAATATTTATATCGTCATGTCCTCGTACCCTACCTTTTACAAATTTGTCGTGTCCCGTACCGGCACCCGCACCCACACCCATGCAACATAGATCATAAGTAACACTGAGAAAAAGCATAGAATTCATTAAGGTGAGGAAATACAAAGATCGCTCATAGAACTAAAGACCAGTTCCATTAAGATGGTAGAAAAAACAAGCTTTTACTATAATCCTTCAAGTAAGACTTCATAACAAACACCATAAAAACTAAAAAAAACTCTTCGCTTGCACCAACACTTTTCAGCTGAAAGGTATCATTAGTATTTCGTTAATATCAATGGAGAAATTGGAAAAAGTACATGGTCGGTTAAATGTTAATAGAATGGTTGATAAGGATGGTTTTTGAAACTGCAGTAATTAAGGGTGGCAGCGTGAAATAGGGCATTAGTTAAGGGCGGTCCCTGAAAACAAAGCCTAAAAAGCTTACATGTTCTTGCTCAGTGAGAGGGTAGCCACGCCGGCGCTGAAACATATTCCTCTAACTTCCCACAATAAACTAGCTTTACCTTTAACTATGATATGCTAAATTTTCAACATTCACATATAAAGTAATGACTATGAGATTCACATGGCAACTAAGAACCAATGTTAACAAATTTCGCGCATAACAATATTTTGCAAGTGATATTACAAATGTCTGATGAATATTGCGAATCTCTACATTAAACTTCCTAGCTAAAGAAATGTTAATCATATCTATCAACGAGCCAATGCAACCAATCAAATCATTAAAAAAATGAAATCATTGTACTCAAACTTTTTCAGCTAGATACGAAAGTTAAGTGATAATTAAGAAATTCAATGCCAAGGAAATAATCTAAACTACAAAATCCCTAAAAAAACAGAACAGAACTCCAACCTAAACTATAAGATTCCAGCTCCACTAAAACAAATCCCCAGAACATTTCTCAAATCACCCATCCACAAACCAAACCAGCTCCAAACGCAATCAAATCGAAGAAAAGCAAATCCCTAAAACATTAATTATTGAACATAATTCCAGCCTAAACTACAAGATTCCGGCTCCAGTAAACCAAATCCCCAAAACGCTTCCCAAATCACTCATCCACCAACCAAACCAGTTCCTAACGCGATCAAATCGAAGAAAAGCAGCGACCGGTTCATCAACGCTTACCGAGATGGAACTCGTGTCCACACCGGAGCCTCGCCGTCGACCGATCCCCGCCGCCGGCAACGATCTCGAGGCAGATCGAGCAGGCGACCGCCGATCCTTCATCGATCGAAGCCTCCGACTCCCCCAGTCCCATCGATTCATGCGAGAGGCAAAATATATCCCCAATTTCGTAGTTTTCCAAACCCTAGATTCGAATATCCCTCGGTCTTAATAGAAACTTTTTTTTCTTTTTTAGCTTCCCGTTTTTTAAACCCCCGAGGGGTTTTGTCAAACGAAGAGGGGTGACTACAAGAAAGAGCAATCGTGGGGTCGAGAGAGGGGATGAGGCGGTCCCTTCGTGCGAGTGACCGTATAGATAATTTTATGCAGATAGGTGGATTACCGTTGGATTTTGATTGGATGTATCTGGACCGTTGAGAGATTGGGGGTGGTCGTCCACCGAATGGGAGCAACTTGATTTTGACTTGCGTAGTGCTGGTTTTATCGGGATTTCCGTTCTGCGGGTGCGTACTTTATTTGGGACTTGGTTGTTTGGTCTTATAATGCGAAAGAGCTTTGCTACATGCACCCAAAATATAAGACCAAAAGGGACAAGTAAGGTGTCCCCTTCCTATTGAATAATGAATTGGTCATCATTAATGATGATCAACTCATTATCCAATAGGAGGGGGACACCTCACTTGTCCTCCCTATTGGTTTCATTTTTTGGGTCCTTAAAGAATTTTTCATTGCGAAAACATTTTTAGTTACGACTGGTTAGCAAGGGCACGTGCGGTGCACGTGCCAAGCCCACTTGGGAGTTCATCTAAAAGAATGTCATCTTTTATGTATGCGGAAATTAGAATAATAAAGGCTGTATTTACAAAATTAAGTTTTCTGTGCAACTTTTACAGTAACCATCAATATGTATGGAGATAGTAGTTAATATTCGTAAAAGTTATTTTAAATGTAGTCAGTACCCATAGTGTTTTAAAATTTTGAAATTACTACATTTATAATAAACTTAGGTTAAGGCAAATTGTATATAAATCCCTCGTCTATACATTCAGTTCCACTGAATCCCCTAAGTTGTTTATTAGCATGTAGCCATCTTTCCTTCATAATTGAGAGGAGATAAGTGCTAATAAATGAGCTAATTGAAGGCATATATATATAAGGAAGTTATCTTCAACTAACCCTTTTGTTTATTATATCTTTGCAATGTTTTTCCTACAGTTTTTAAAATCATATATTTTGTTTCAAATCATATCGAATCTTTGAAGATAACTTGTATATAAGCATCTCGTTGATAATCAATCCCTCTAATTATCAAATTACATTACTTTATTTGTTCTAATACATGTTAGGGGAACCTTGTTCCACTAATGAGGTATTGTCACGTGTCTTTACTTGCTCACAAAGTAAATTTCATGACTACCCCAGCTAATAGAATAGTGGCACATGTAGATTGAGGGACTAATATGGAATAATTCTAGATTTAATGGACTAATATGCAATATCCATCTTTATTTGAGGCTAAACATGTGAAGCTGAGTTTGTGAGTTGAAAAAAAGGGAGGAAGAAAAAAAAAAAGCAACGACGAGGTTTAAAACTCCAGACCACAAAGAAGTGAACGGCAGGGGCTACTTGCCAACTGAACCAAAGTTTTGCTTATTTTACTATCTACAATGTTTGACTTTGATTACTATTCTAAAAGCGCTACATGACAAACTAGAAAACAGAGCTCTTAGACACTTTTTATATCGAGAGGGATATGTAATTTTTTTCAAATTGAACAATTTTTCAAAACATTCTTTTTTTTTTTAAATCGACATTTTTTATTTACCAAAACCGACCCGTTTTTTACAACGTCAGACTAATCACTTTCCTAAACAGTCGGGGTTGCCAACCCCGATTGTTTAGGACATAATTTTTTAGGTTTAAGACTTCTAATTTGGGGCTAACACCCTTCTAAATAGTCGGGGTTGGCAATCCAACCCCGACTATTTAGGAAAGTGATTAGGCTGATGTGGTAAAAAATGAATCGGTTTTGGTAAATAAAAAAATAGTCAATTTTAAAAATTAAAAAACAAAATGGGGCGATTTTGAAAAATTATTCTCTTCAAATTCCGTACTTCGCAAATATTTTATTGGACACCGTTCGTAAGAGAAGATAATTTTTGTTCATACCCATTTACCCACTTAATCCGTTCATCACTTAACCCTTTAAAAAAACACTCCTTTAGTTAAATGAATCTAATCGAACGGATTTTTCTCAAATTAGACTAAATGGGAATGGGCAGTATCTGCTCACCCATTTGCCCGCCCAAATTCCCAAAACCAAAACCAAAACCAACACCCTTCGCCTTCAGTCTTCAGCCTTCAGCCAGCAAAACCCTAATCTCCCTCTCCCGCTCCCTCCTCTCGGCTTTACGGTTTTTTTTTTTACCCTCGCCAATGATCGATGATCCTCCGCCATCACCATGTGAGCTCCTCATCGAGAACAGCGAAGCGATCTCAACGAGATTCCCCTCTTTCTCCCTCTTCCCACTTGTAAGCAAACCTTAACCCCTAGTTTGCTCGTCAATTTTATTGCTTTTAGGTCAAATTGAGTTTACTTATTGTTCTACGATGATCTTTCATCCTCTGGCCATTCGTTCCCAGTTGGTGATGTTCGCCTCAGGATTCAGCGTGTATTAATCTAGGGTTTGCCTTTTGTTCGTGTGAAATATTTGCATTTTTTTAGATTTTTAGATTGAATTGAGAAATTGGAGAATGAAAAGGAGAAACTGAGGGGAAAGGAGGAACTTTGTTGACATCAAGACAAAACCCTAATTTTTAGACTTTTTTTAGGCTTCTCTGATCTGCTCAAGTTTATGCTTCATTTTGAGATCAAACATTAAAATTCTATTGAATCTAGTGAAATCCGTGCAACTTACATATTTTTTTAAGTTTAAAGTGTGAAATTGGAGAAGGAAGAGGAGAAAATGAAGGAAAAAGGAGTACTTTTGTTGAAAATCAAACAGAACCCTAGCTGATATCTGTTTGCGTCAAAAGTTGGTTTTGTCATGGAATTCATTATATCTTCAGTCGATTACAATAAACTCAAAAAAAGAGATAGCCTTTTTATAAGACTTCTTTTACACAACAAAATAAAAATTACAACTCTTGAGAAACAAACACAGGATCGTTGTTTGGATCACTGCTTGTGTGGGATCTTTGCCTGTGCCGGGGGTGCGTTAGCCCGTGGACCACCAAATCACAGATTCTGATCGAATCGTGAGGGGTTTATGATTCTGACTTCGTTTATCGAAGTGAGAACTTGAAACGATATCTTATCAAGGTAAGATAGTCGTTCTTCTTGAAATCAAGTCAAAGCCTGAATATCAAGGAGTTACAGAAGCTCGAGTACTCTGCCCTCTCTGCTCTGAAATCAGCCTGTGGATGCTCTCTGATCAGCCTCCTTCAAAAATGGCCTTCGGGGGGTATTTATAACCCATAGGAACAGTTGGCGGAAAACAGGCTCGCGAGACAGCATTTGCTGTCTCGGCTGTCGAGACAGTGTTTGGGGCAGTTACAAAACCAATTTCTGAATCTTTTGAAAGCTGTCTCCTGTGCGAGACAGAAAAGTCTGTCTCGCGTGCGAGACAGCAAGGTCTGTCTCGCACGGCGAGACAGTCTATACTTGTGTTCTTTTGGCTTTTTTGGATGATTTCCTCTTGAGCTGTATTTGGATATCTTTCAGCATTTTTTGACGCCTACAATATCAACTTTGTTAATGTTTCATTCCATGATCCAAATTTGTTGAAAATCAAATAGTAATAAGATTCCTGCATAAAGGAATCTCAAACAGAAACTGATACCAATTATTGTTTTATTGAAAGTTTACATCCTGTTATACAACAAATAAAGACTCTGACATTTTAATTACTATAATGTTATATTGACCAAAAATTCTTCTAAATGCATATGGCATTTTCACACTTCAAAATTTTACTTTTGCAACATTCTAGCAATTATAAAAGCATAAACATGAATACATCACTATGATAAACCTGTAAAATCAAATAATAAACAACACCAAAATCTGAAATGAAATTTTAGAGGGAGAAACTTACTGGCAACCCGATCAAAGACATCAGCAGCAGACTCCCCCTCTGGAAACCGAAAGAAAATAACATAATATAACCTGTCCAAGTTGCCCTGGCTTATAATTTTAAGGTAGCGAATCTTGCAAAAAATAAAGTTATTCATTTGTTTGTGTCAGTTTGAATTTTGGAGTCAGCTTGTATAGAAAGTTCCACTGCTTCAATTGTATTCTGTTACAGTGGGTGAATGCTCTTGTGCATTATGTTACTTAATTCCTTTAAAGTTCTGATTGGGTCCTGGAATGTTTAGGAACATGAAAACAAAGTTAAAGGGTCTAAGCAATGTTACTCTAGTGGTGATCAGACCAAATTTGCTATATTTATTCATTTTTATAGCACTTGTAGGCGTGTAATACTTCCCTTGATGTTATATCCCTATTCTTGTATCCTCTCATTCGCTATGTGAACATGGATGTCATAATAAATGGGCGCTATTTATAGCGATACTATGTAAGTTACAATATTGGTAACAAGTATGCGTAGATTTGTTATGTTATGTTATTTTATTATGAAAGCATGGTGTTTAGTTTTAATGCAATTTTGGTAATAAATCAATCACTCTTATATTATGAAAGCATGGTGTTTAGTTGTCTGTTGTATTTGTGTATGCTGACATGTCCAAGTTGCCCTGGCTTTCGCCGTGCCTCATTAGGATGATTCTCTTGGGCAGTTTTCGGTGAGGGTGGATTGCGAGATTTTCGTGTCCTAGATCCTCATGTATCCATCCCTTCATTCTGGTTTGTTTGATTTGTGAGCTGATGAATATAGTTTTGATGTCTGGTTTTGTTGCGGAACTGCTCAGTGCATAAAAGAGAACAAGGATGAGCAACCATTGTAATAATAGAGGGGTTTTTTTTTAAATATACCCCTTAAATCACGCATATTCGCAAAACTCCTCATTAATTTATTTATTTTTTTTTTTGGGGGGGGGGAATACCCTAAAAACAGAAACTGATACCAATTATTTTTTAAATTTAACCTAAATCCCCTAATTTTTGCAGTTGATCGAGATTTCCCAAGACTTGGTCGAACTAGAGGATGAAAATTGCAACTTCTCCAGCTCGCAATCAGGTATATCCCCTTCTCTTGAATTCAAAGTCATAAATTTAGTTTCATTTTCTTATGAAACATATTTTCTTTTGTTATATAAAACCTATTTGAAATTATTAAAAAAAGATTGGTTCTTTTCGAGTTCTTCTCTTCTATTAGCATGTATTTGAATTTCTAAAATTTGCCATGTTCTTAGCTCTGACTTGAAAATTATCTGAATTTCTTTTGTTTGATGTTCTAAAATTTGCCATGTTCTAAAATTTGCCAAAATTTAAAAGAGTACAGATTGAGAGTAAGAGGACATCAACTCCTTCAACTAAATACTGGGTCCACACCATTAATATGTGAGACTTAATATGTGAGACTTTATATTACATATTCAAAGAGAGCATAAAAGAGATCACACAACTGACATCATTTTCATGTAACAACACCTCTTCTATGTAACAAAGACCTAGCCCTTGGCTTTGTTCCTCCCTTCTTCAAACTCCTTTCTCAAATATGTCAGGAAACTACTTTCTAACCAATAATGGAAGTTCTGTTCTTGGATCCTGTCTTTTGCTTATCCGGTGAAAGCCTCTAACAACGACTCTCTCATCTTTACTCTTCTCATCATATTCAGCTATTTTGGCTCCGACTTCTACAAAAGATTCCTCCTTTCATAGCTGGTGCCATAGACCACTGAGATTTTTTTTCATCGATGAAAGATTTCTATTGTTCGCCATCAATCTCCTTATTCTCCATAGATGTCCTATAATCGTATCCTACACCATCTACCTCATCATCGATTCTCTTGGATTCTTATCCTTCACAATTGTTCTCATCATTGCAGAGTTTCCCTTATCGTTTTCCCCAGATTTCTTTCCTAGGCCATTGATCTTATCGCCACAGAGTCTTCGTTGTATATCTAGAACTCTGACTCTTTTATAAAGTCTTAGCTAGTGTTTAATTTTGATACTCATTATCCAAACTCCCAGTTGTTGGTAAATGTGAGATTAAGGGAATGTTAAATATAATATTTTCCTTCATTATGACTCCATTATATCTTCGTTTCTTATTAATCAACGGTCAATGAATAATGATACATTTTTTTCATAACATGAGTAATTTCCTAACATGAATAACTTGAGCAATAACAATAAATTTCGTTTCATAACATGAGTAATTCTTAATTTTTGTCTTAGCCTTTTTTGCATAAGCAATTAGATAAGTATCTATTCTATGATAATTTCTTAATACTCTTCTATGTTTACATGCATGTACTTAAGACTTTGGTAGAATTACTTAATGTTAGTTTCCTACGCTGCTCTCTTATATAAACAAAAACAACTTTTATTAAGGAAAATATATTCCTCTAGATATTGTTAGTTATTTTGAATACATAAAATATAATTTCCTTTCAACATTGAGTTCTAGAAAGTTTCTTTTTCTAAACATGTATAACACATGCCAAGAGACCATATTTTTAAGAAATGCAAGATATAAAAAATTTAATGCTTAAATTAGTTTCCAATAAGAATAATGTCAATTACCATAAAAAACACTATGTGATGGGGACCGGAGCGGGGACCCGAAACAAAGGAAGGAGTCTCTTGAATGCGATGCCTTCAACGCCTATCTGGGTGACTGGGTTCAATCCAAAAGCTTGAGGATGTTAATGGTTCAAACACTGGTGGCTATTTGAATATGATCGAGATTTGAAAGGAGCTAGGCTTAACAGGTTGAAAATCACCTCCAACTCGCCGCTGCCTCCTCCGAGGTGTCGCTGTCGTCTTCGAGTTGTCGCCGCCTCCAAGTTGCCATCGTATCTTCTCACATGCTTTCTTCTTCCTCTCACTCCCTTCTCAAATTTGCACTAGTTTATTGCTATAATCCATATATTTTCATTTAATTTTTGCCCTAATTTGTGTTATTTACTTTTGCCCTAATTTGTGTCAATTTGATTTTTGCTCTAATTTTATTTCTTCCCTCACATCCTGCTTTATTCTAGAGTTTACTTTTATAATTTTTTCTAATTTTATGCTGAAATTTTCAATTTAATCATTTGTGATAATAATTCTTATGTGTTCAGCATTTTGATACAATATGAAGAATTATTGCGTATTAAGCATATATTTGTGGGAAATTATCTGTCTCATCGTGTATTTGAAGATAAGTGTCAATATTCTCCTCTAGCACAAGCAGTGAACTTCGAGTTCCCTAGTCACACCTGTAAGCAGATCATCCTGGTTTGTTGTTCTTGCCAAAAGTTTTTTTGGCATTAGAGTCTATCCAACATTACTAGTGTGTTTCATGATGTTGATTGAATCAAATGTGTTTCGTGACGTTGATTGAATCAAGACCTGTGATAATTTTTATCTCTAGACCCACAAACAAACATGAGATTCATCCGGACTAGCATTATCCTGAAATATGGGAGGTAAACGTGTGAAAATCACTAAAGATTAGCAAGTATATCAGGTTTCAAAAGTTAAATCTAATTATAACCTCAATATGTGTGTGTTTCTATATGTTTGATTCTAATTATACTGTCCTATTTGATTTGCCTTTTTGGTTTCATGTTGGTGTGAATATAATAGATGTCAAGTGAAAATCCTTATGTCAACGAAGTGGTGGAGATTTCCCCTCCACAAGGAGTGGGAACTTGGCCTGAATGTATGGAGCTTTATTTCATAGACTTCATGGAGGAAGAAGTGAAAAAGGAAATAAGCATACAAGTACGTTTACTAGATCCTTTTGGAAATTCATGGAGCATGAGTTGAAAAAGAAGATGGCGAGAGAATATACTCATGACCAAATGAAAAATAAGTTTAACCAATTTAGACAAAGATGGAGAAATTTGAAAAATCTATTGACGGATACGGCTGTTGGGTATACTGCGAGCAACATCGGTTAAATATCTGTAATGGAGGATATCTGGACTAAGTTGTATGCGGTAATCCTTGATAATTAATACAATTTTAATTAGATATCTTATGTGAGTTTGGATTCATTATTTCCTTTTGTTTTACATAGACGCACAAGTATGCAAGATATTTTAGAAGGAAAGGATGCAAAGGCTATGACGAGTTGTGCATCATTTTTGGTGATACAACTGCTACTGGTGATCAAGCTCATCCCTCTACTAAAAGTCCTACCATTAGTGAAGATGATAAGGAGGAAGAAGAGGACGATGAGAAAGAGGTTGAATGATCTCGAGCTAAGAAAAAGGCGAAAATAGCGAACAAATGTGTACCATTGAACCAGCAAGTCCAATTAGCAATTGTTGAAGCTTTAACCTCGATGGGATAAAACACTAGGAAGAAAATGGAGTGGAGGGAGAGGAGAATAAGTTCGACTACTGCATATAGTCATGTTAGTGGTATTAGGTAAAGACGTTCTGAGGAAGAACAAGACTTGGTGAACTGCATCACTACACTTAGTGCTCTTTCGAGATTGATTCAACTCAATTTTCCAAGGCCGCACACATTTTGCATGATGATGCATCATGTAGAACCATGTTTCTTGCCATGCCTAGCGAGAGAAAGAAGGATTGAGTGTTAAATCTACCTTGATGTTGTTTGTGTTAGGTCGAAGAAATTTGTATTTGTTTATGTTGTGTTTGTTTCTATTAGGTTAAAGACCTTTGTGTGTGTTTCAATTATGCTTGTGTTCTAGTAGATTGAAGACTTTTGGGTGAATTTGTCTTAGTTTGAACCTATATATATTATTTCCATAACGTTGTTTGTATTAAACTTGTTTATGTTGTTGACATGTGTTTCATGCGTTATGTTTAAATTTTATTAGACTATGATTGAAATTTATTTTGAAGATCGATTTGATTTTTTATGTAAGTACATTTTTAAGGTTTTGAATAGTGTTCAATTATAATTTTATATGTTTTTTATATGTATGGATGGCAATATAGATGCAGATAATTATCAATTATCATCACAATCTGATTCCTTTTCGATCCAGCGCCATCTCCTCTGTGAGGTATAAATTCCTTTTCGATCCTATATAAAAAATTTGGCGTTTTTTCTTTGTTATCATTCAGTCTACCTTGAAACCATCTCTTTCCATTTTGATTTACTTGCAATTACGAGCCTGAATCATTTAAATTTAAGCCTTGCTTAGTGCAATTTAAGAATTTGAATGCTACCTAAATAGCAGTTTCTAAGAAGTGCTTCTTGGTTGATTTGTTCCCCCAATTTTATTCGGATGATAATAGCTTAATTTCTGTCAAGTTCTTGATTTATGTGGCCATAGAAAATCCCTCTGTTAACGAGAGTTCAAAATCTTGCCATGGAGAAATTAATTGTTGTTTCTATCCTAAACAATGGCCGTAGCTTATACATGATGTCCACATGCAATTAATAGTCAACGAAAAAAAGAAATGTTGAAAGTAAATTGATATAAAAGCAGTCACCTGATACCAAATATTACAACTATTAATAAAACATTCCAACTTCCTGTGTGTTTCTGCAGAACATCAGTTAAGGATGATATAGGCATTACAAATCTTGCTAGTTCATAGGGAGAAATGTTTAATTGCAATCTGATTTTATTTGTAATTGCTATTTTATATTGTAATAAGAGCTTCTAAATTTATCATTAGTTTGTGTATAATTAAGGATTCTTAATTTTCTAACCTAATTTATCAACGACTTTTGTTAAATGTGGCAAATTTGGTTGGAGAATTGTTGTTTATGTTTTGATAAGATACATCATGTGTTTTGTCAATTTGAGTTGTGTGTATTGATTTGATAAGATTATGTGTTATTAGTATAAGGTCATTTGTGTAAATTTACATATATTTCCTTCCCTTCCCTTCCCCCCATTATTACTCCCAAACAGGTTATATTAATTTCACCTTCATTCACCTTACTCAACTCTCAAACAACATATTACAATTATTTCCTTCCCTTCCCCTCCCCTTGTTTACCTTCCCTTCCCTTAGTAAACTCCCAAACACACCATTAATTCTTTTAGTTTCTGTTAATATCTAAATCGTTAGGTACTAGTTTCCTGAACGTTAGTAGGTTGTTCTTTCTAGATGCCGATTCGGGATTCTGTTTGCTATTGCAATGTGCGTCCTGTTATCATATTAATTTATCTTTGAATGCTTTAGGAAATTTTGCTAATTGAAAAAATTTCCCTTTCTGTCTTGATCTTTTTGAGAGGAGTTCTGATTAGTATTCAGTTCATTTCTGCAAGGAATTTCAATATCTAATTTGGTTATGTTCTTTATTAGATGGCTTACACTAGTAATCCTAGAGGAGGTTTAGAGTATTTCTTTTCTCTTTAATCTTGAAAGGATTTGATAAGATTGCTCTTAACTTTGCCACAACAAAGTGGACAGGTTCCTGTTTCAAAATTCGGTTAGATTGCTGGAAGCGAAAAGAAAATGTGATGTTTGATGAGAACTACTAGGAGACTTACATGAAGTAGAAGTTTGCTTCCGAGTTCATGTGAAACTACTGAACATTCACCTGCTTCAAGAATTGTACTTAAAAAGTTTAATTTGTTTGCATATTCCAAGAGTGCTGGATAAGCATCTGCAATTTCTAGACTATTGTGAAACTCAAGTTCTGAAGAGCTATTAGACAACAGAAACCAAGGGGTGTATGTCAGTATGCTTAGATACTTTATATCAAATCCCGGTACAATTGATGATATTGCCTGTATATGTGAATTGTTGTATTATATTTTTATCATTTGCGACCACATACATTTATGCAAGGAGAAGCCTACAACCACATACATTTACTCATTTGGTTGTTATTTATACATAGATGTACTAATTCATATCCATTTGTTGAATATCCGTTTCATATTTGTGATCGTATCCGATCCGATTCTCAAATATCCGAACCGTATCCATTTCCGATGAGTACAGATATGATTAAAGTTTTTTTCTTATCGAAGATAATCTGTATCCGTATTCGTTTATAGAAAGCGGATATGGATATGGTAAGTGTCATATCCGAACCTTATCCGCTCCGTTAACACCCCTAGACAGAACGCGTAGATTAACGGGTCAAGTTGGACGAGATTCAACCGGAACCGGCCCGATATCTGCCGCCCATTACCCGCAAGTTACAGACGACGTGTACAATACGCTTCATCGCGTTTAGTTGCAAAACATTTGCCCCTTTTCGCCTCTCTCCTCTCAACCGCGGGGAGAGCAGAGGAAAAAGCACTGATCCCTTTTCTCCCGCCCTTAATTCTTTCAAAAAATCTAATCTTTTATCGTTCTAGGGTTAGCGTTTGCGATGAATCTCCAAGACCTGCACAAGGTTTGGGAGATCAAAGCCCTAAAGAAGCCCGGCGATGACGAGTCCCGCCGCATCCTCGATCGGATCGCCAAGCAGGTGCAACCTATTATGCGGCGGCGGGAATGGAGGGTCAAGCTTCTCTCAGAGTTCTGGTCAGAAACCCTAGCCTTAAAAACCCTAATTTTGTTCTTCTCGTTTCTTACTTTTTTGTCTAACCTTGAGTTTGTTTGGTATTTTGTTTGTAGTCCATCCAATCCAACGCTTTTAGGGTTGAATGTGGGAGGTGGAGTCGAAGTTAAGCTTAGGCTGCGGAGGCCGAAGAGGGATTGGGATTTCTTCCCATTTGAACAAGTCCTTGATACGATGCTTCATGAATTGTGTCATATTCAGCATGGACCTCATAATGCTCAGTTTTACAAGCTCTGGGATGAACTCCGAGTGGTTTGTACCCTTTACTTTCTTTCTTTCCTCCTTTATTTTGTTTTTAATGAGTAATGATAGCTACACTACTCTCTCCTACACTACTTATGCAATAAAGGGAAGTGTGAGCTCCCTTGACGAGTCATCAATTTTGAAATAATATTGAAGAGAATGGACCCCACTTTTCTCTCTCTTGTAGTGTATACACGTAGTGTAGGATTAGTAGTGTAGTTATCACTGCTAATAGTTTATATGGTTCGATTGTCACTACTCATGTTTAATACATAGTTAACCATTAAATCTCAACTTAATTGTTTCCTATAAATATATTTGGTGAAGAAGAATATGGTTTGAGTAATTGTATACATATTATAAAGAAAGGAAAGAGGATGATGGAGATGTTTTTTATGTTTAATCGAATAATGACATCCAAGTGGGGTGTCCTAACGTTTTCTACTTGGACATGTTTAAAGTTCGTTTTTTTAAGAAGAATTACTTATCCTTTTCTCATCATTCCATGTTTTAGTTTCTTAAACTTCTTCAATACTAAATGAAATAAAGCATGATTTTCATTGACATGTTTGTGGAATTAATTGCGCAAAAGTACATTATATACTCACTAATTATTCTTGCAACTCTGACCAACAAATGTAAGTTATCCTGTATCACTGACTTTTCCGGCTTACATGTTTTAATAATGTAATACATTCATAATGATGCATTTGATTCTTAATGATTGAATTCTACCAGCTCTGGGATGAAATAATGTTGGTGTCTCCCTGAGTTTTTGCTTTATTACAAATGGCTAAAAAAAAATTTCCATCAAAATCTTCTTACACCTGTTAGTTTCAATTTATCATATACTGTAGTTTGATGGGATTTTAGAACACTCCCGGATTTTGTATTCTTCAGAGATAACTATCCGCTAATAGTTGTCAAGATACATTATCATGTAAAACACGCTTTTCATGACAGTACTTCAAACTATTCTTGAATTAATTTCACATTGATAGTTACGGTTGTAAAATTTTGTAGCTGTAAGAAGTTGTGTTATCATGTACAAGTACTTCACATGAATTTCATGTCAACAAGTACCAGATACTAATATCACATTTTATAATTATGGCATAAATGTAAAGCTGAGTTTTTACACGAGGATTTGGAGAACTATTCATAATTTTTATATTTATGCTGAGCCACATTCCAATTGAATAGCTTCAGTCTAACAGCTACATTGGGATTTTTCATTACATTTTCTTTTTGTAATTCACCGTTCCAGGAATTTTGTGTTATTCACTGTCTCAAACATGTCAGTGCAGGAATGTGAGGAATTGGTATCAAAGGGTATAACTGGTACTGGACAGGGGTTTGATGCCCGAGGACAACGATTGGGTGGGTTTACTCGACAGCCTCCGTTGTCGTCTCTTCGACAAGCTGCAGCTGCAGCAGCGGTTAAACGCGCACGTAATGGTGCTCTATTACCTTCTGGACCTAGAAGATTAGGCGGGGATAGTGAAATTATGACTGCACTATCTCCAATACAGGCTGCTGCAATGGCTGCAGAGAGGAGAATGCAAGATGATTTGTGGTGTGGCTCTGGGTGGCACGAAAGTTTCAGTGCACCAGAAAGTGAACATGGAAAGTCGGAGCATTCTACATCAGTAGGTTGTGGGGAATCTTCAAAAGGCAGTAATGTTTCCAGGGGTCCTTGTAATCATGATAATGATCAGAGTGGTTCAATTGTTGGTTCTGTGAATACATCCGTGCTTGGTAACAGAGCTGGTGAAATATCAATATCCAGTGGTTCATCTTCCTGTGGGAGAATAGGTGATGCTGAAAATAAAGTGATATGGGAATGCAATATATGCACTTTGTTTAATCAGGTATTATCTCTTCTCCCCCTCAAACTCATACTTTATTCAGTAATATTTTGAGCATGAATTTATTTATTGCTAAAGCCTGAACCTTTTTCCCTTAACTTTTATCATGACTTGTTTAAAATGATTTGTGTATATCTTGGTTAATATAGTTCAATGAATGACTAATAGGCTAATATTATATGGACATAGTTGAGTAATTAGAGGATAAATGGCTAGAGAAATCATGTGATATGGTTCTGTTTTCCTATTTGGAATCCAGTGGTTTTCTGAAATTTTCAGGGAATTTTAGAGCACAAGCCCTTATAGTCATCATGTTTCTTATGCTGAGTGTCTTGTGATGTTGTTTCTTTTTAGTGGAACTTTAGCATCAGAATATTTTGGATGATTTGTCAGGACTTAATTCTTTTCAGTGGAACATCTTGATATAGTGACTAATTATAGAATTATGAACAAAGACTTTAAGGAGATGTTTTAGTTTGTTCCCATTTGTGTGCTTATCAAAAGTGTACAAGTCGAGCTGGATAATTCAGGGTTGATTGGTAATGTTTCTATTAAATTAGTTAGTATATTCGAAAGTTGGAGAAGATTTAGTCACGATACACACATCAGAAGATTATGCATTATCCAATTATTTTACAATATACAGAACTTGACGATCCCTCTTTGGGAATGACGTCGTATCAGAACCAAAACCCTAAAAATCTCCTTTCTTATCACTAAATCTGCCATCAAGCAGATGTGCATCTTGATGAAGTGACCGCTTGTCCTACACTAGTCTTGAAACAATGATAACTTAATGTAAATCAAAGTGAGCGACAACTGTAATTTCTCTGGAATAGTTTTGAAACTATAGGAAATTTACACCATTCTAAAAAGTGATCTCAAAGTGTCAAATAGGCCATATCTTCTTTGAGACCTAATTATTTAAATTTGAACATTGTCTTATGTGTCAGGTCCTTAAATGATAGGTGGTTGATGTTTCTTTAATCTAAACTTTGCTATCAGAAATTGGCCTAGATATTCTCTACAGCTTTGCTTTAGAATTCCAAAGCTAAATTCAGGGAAAGAAAAATCTAAAATCCACTGACAAACCAGCTTGAGAAATCAAGTGATATATTTCTGGAATACAATGTACACTTTCGATACACGGTATCCCCTATTATGAAGGCTCCTTCATTATTTACTTCATGTGAAGTTAACTGATTGTTGTCAACAGTAATGATAGGTCTTTTGTACATCCATTTACTTATGGTCATATTGTTGCTGATTTGTAGTCATCACTTACTGATGCTCCATTTGATGTTTTTCTGGAAACTGACGTCATTTGAAGTTTGAATATGTTGTATTACCACAGCCTTTGGCACTCAAATGTGAAGCTTGTGGCACTCAAAAGCTTAAATCTGCTGCATCCAAATTCAAAATATGGACATGTAAGTTTTGTACCTTGGAAAATGACAGTGAGCTGGAGAAATGTTCTGCTTGTGATCGATGGCGGTACTCATATGGCGCACCAGTGTCCACCCGTGCACCCAATTGCTGCACTTGACAGGTTCTTTACAGCTACTCAATGTAAAAGGATGATATCATTTTTCTTGTAAGCTATCTCTCTCTTTACTTTTGACCAAAAGAAAGGAAAAGGAAAAAAGAAAAAAAAAGAAAGAACAAATTTGTTTTGCATTAGTAAACAGTCTTTTCATCCTGCTCCATGTTTGACTTCTGAATACTTATTAAGCATAAGCAGTTTGTTTCTGCTACCTGACCATGCTTTCTAGATTATCTAATTTCTACTTTAGTATCACTTGGTAATCATCATTTAATATTATGCATATTCTTTCTTCTCCGAGCTTCACCATGGAGTTGAGATCTTTTTCTTCCAAAATATTTGGCACGCACGTACACACTATTGCTGGTGATTCAGGTAGTAATGAAATTATCTGTCTTGTTTTGGGATTTATTTTTGATTATGTTGTCTTGGCAAGGGAATTTCTTTGTCACATAATTACGTAATAACTCTTTAGCTTTGTCGAGATAAAGCTTACTCTTTCACAAGGTTGTGGAAAGATGAAAGCAGAGCGAAGCGCTGAAGCATTGCTCACACTTTTTAGGCTTTAGCAGCAAAAAAGTTGAATATCTGATCTTTGTATGAGAAATAGGAGTCTGCTTGAGAAATGAACAAGGAAAATAAGAACAAACAACTTAGAAAGTTTGGACATAAAAACTCTTAAAAGATTGTAAAAAAAACCTTGCAAAAAAATACTCAAAAAGTTTGCAAAAAGTTTTCAAAAGTTTACGAAAAGCCCCTAATAGTTTGCAAAAAGCCCTATAAAAATTTACAAAAAACATCCTAAAAGTATTATACACATAACTACTATAGTTAAATGGGTAAATGGGTAGCCCGTTTATTAAATGGTCGGGTAAAAATTCGCACATTTAGAAAATGTTAAATGGGTCATAAATGGGTTAAACATGCCCACTCATTTATGACCCGCCCGCCCATTTAACACCGAAACCCACCTATTTAACACCTCTACCATTTGGATTGTTGTGTTTGGCTTGGCGTAAAAATGCAGCAACTTCCGCACCGCATGTAGTTTTAACCACATCAGATAATTAAATGTGTTATTTGATTTTAAATGTTGCTGCCACGTCAGAAGATTATTGCAACCGTAAAGTAAATAGAAGTATTAGAACAACACTCAAATTTAAAAGTGTTTCAGCACCCGGAGTTGGAATGACATGACATTGTAAAATTATTTGTTGTTCCAACTCTTTCAAAGCGCAAGCTCATATCGCATAGGCATAACTGTTGTCGTCTTATTGCATGAAGTTTTATAATGTTAGCATATATAGTTGTGGTCCTTGTAGATGCAGGTGTCACTTGTGAATAATACTTTTGGGACTTCTGTTAGGATTGTTTTGCCACTGGAGATGCAATTTGAATCACATTTCTAACTCAAAATGATAGCAATTGCAACCTACGTAGGATCCGCATATATTGTTGGATGCAAGAACAAATCTTTCTGCCATTGCAGTTGAGAGTGTATACATTGTCAAAACTGCAACGATGTCGGAAAATTAGGGAACCTCTGGGATTTCTCATATCATACCGGACCAACGTCATTATAGTGTCATTTAGGGGTGGGCAAAAACCGAAAAAAAAACCGGTTCAACCGAAAAAACCGCCCGAAAAAACGGACCGGTTAACCGAACCGAATTAAATGGATGAGAAGAAGCCTCTAAACCGTCCGAACCGAATTAAATCGGTTTGGATCCGTTTTGAACCTCTGAACCGCCCAAAAAAACCGACCCGAATTCTGTTGGGCTGTTTAGAGAATAAACTTATACCTCAAAACTTTTCCTGTTATCATCCAATAGATTCAAACGGCGCAAGGAGCAGTTTCAAGCAACGAGTACAGCAATATCACAGAAAAATATCCTTGAGAACTAAGTAAAGATTCAAATCAATCCAGAAAATTTGTTATGCACATGATGCACTTACAAAAGATGCATATGCTACATTATATGAACAATATCATACAAAACATCACTCCCCCGTGTAATTAAATAAACTTAAACTTTAGTTAAAAAATTTCGCAGAAAAGATCTTGAGAATTACATAAGATTCAAATTAATCACAAAACGTGTTATGTACATGATACTTACAAGAGATAAGCATGTTGTATTATATGAACATCTTTAAAACATCAATTCTCTGTGTAATTATATCAACTCAAAACTTTATTCTAAAGATGATAACCAGTCTAATAAAGCTTTGTTGGCGAGCTCAGGAACCTCATCATGAGGACAATGCCCAGCTTGCAAATTCACAACAGAAGTCTTTGGATAGAACTCTTTGCAAATTCAAAACCGAAACCAAACCGAACCGAACTGAATTTCGGTTGAGCCGAATATTTGGATGAAGGGGAAAAAATCTAGATCTGGATGAGAGTTTTGAGAATCCGAAAAATTTGGATTGGATGCGGATTGGGCATAAAACCAAACCGAACCGAATATACCCAGCCCTAATGTCATTTGTAGCCTGAAAAATGTCGCCACATATTATTACAATGTATTAAGAACAATAAATTATAGATAATCCCCCCGCCTGTCCAGTAATTGAGGGTAACAAGTTGCCAATGAACAAGTTGAAGGATGATAAATACCACTGAAATTATTATTTAAAAGATTATTATTATACCATATCACCCATTCCCTTTGAATTACAATTTCACAACTCCCATCTCTTAAGCAGAAAGGTACACATTATACATCAAAGAAAGCACTTTGTGCATGTGACATTGTAATTTATAATTATTAATTATATACAGAAAGGAAAAACCATCAACCTGTAATTACAATGGAGTGTAGGTGCGATACACGAGAAAAAAAAAACAAATAACAATGATTCATGAATCAGAGGGGGGGAAATACAAAATAAATAAAAAAAATACAGTTGCATAGGACCTCAATAACTTCATAGTCCCAAGCAACGAACAAAAAAGTAAAAAAATACACGTGGGTGAATTTCAATAACAAAGGAGAGCCTGGAGACATGAACACCAACTGAAGGTGAAACAAATTTACAAACAGTCGTACACAAAAAAAATCTTCTTTCAAGAGCAACTTGGGGTCAAAAAAGCATCATAAAATTAATTGACATATACACGAAACACAAAAATCGAAAAAAAGAATATTAATATCAATAATAATTATAATAACAAAGCTTTGCTGCTACTACTAACTACAATTTTCGGCCCCATGACAGCCATGCAAATCAAAGAATCCAGTGTACCTGAACACTTTGTCAAAATAGCTCTTCAGAATTGAATTTATTCCAAGCTTCCTGTTTCATGAAGAAAACAATACATGCATAAGGAAATGATCCATAATAATGCATGTGAAACAATAATGCTACATGTCAAACTACTGTATTGCTCAAACTGCTGGGTGCTGATATTTATCTTTTCTGAACCAAAGAAGTTTAGTTTTAATGGAGTTATCAAATATTGCTCGCAATTTATAGGAAATACACCCAGTTACAGACAATGGGATGACTACCCTACAAAGGCAGCAATTTAAGTGTCTGGTAACATTAACAAATTTCACAAATCCTTCCTGAACTTTTGTGGTTAAATCAGAAAAAAACAAACTATATCTAGATCTCAATAACGGTGTTAACTTGAAGAGTAAAAAAGTCTGAAAATATGATCTTGTTGCTGTGTTTTGTTCTCCCACATGAATGCTCTTTACTCAAATATTTTCGTCAAAATTTTTTATTGTCATAATTCAAACTTATTACTCTAATATTCAGTTGTTCCATGGCGGCATTCAACAACATAAGCAGCAATGTTGTTTGAGATCTAGCAACAGTTTATGTTACTCGAGCAACAAAAAACCAATTTGCTAGGCTGCAACTCTAAGAGCTATTTAACTTGTGCTGTGAAGACAACGGCTAAATCATCGTCCCTTGGAAATCTAAATGCTCCAAATACCGCTCTTAACTGCTTGAGACAAATCACTAAGGAGCAATCCACTGACCAAAAAGTAACTCCTGAGCAAACTGAACCCCTTCAAAATTTAAAGGATCAAATTAATCACTCTTAGATGCTTGAGATTCATAACTAACCAACAGCAAATCTGCTTGAGTTTACTACAGCTGATGGAATAGAGGCTTAAGAGACCACAAGTGGCAAAACCTTAGCCATGTACTGTACTCATCTCAACACTCAGGAAGCAAGCTGACAGAGAAGAGGTGGCAGAGGGAGATGTGGTGGCGAATGTATGAACATGAGGAAACAAGTTAGAAGTTTCCCTCCCCCCTCCATTTTTCCCCACTGCATCCTTAAAACAAGTAAAATTCAAGATCTGACAGTTGGGTCTGTTTGTATTGTTCAGATAAAATCTTATATGACTAACTTGTTTCAGCATGACCATGCATTCACAGACATGCTAACTACAAAACATGAACCAACTTATTGCCTAAATGGTTTTCATCCTAAACATACGAAACTCTGGCATGGAAGGCAAATGTAATGATACTAGTCTCTCTTGGTAGTCAAAAGTCAAACCAGAGTAAGGAGTCTCACTTCACACAACTTGGAAATATAAGAATTTACATATTTGACAATTTCTTACTAAGAAGGGTGATTAGAGATTGTAAAAATAACATTTTTTCCTCCATCAGGTCTCCCTAGTTGATGCAGGACAACTAGAAGATCATCTATCAGATAGGAATTTTTAAGGATTCTATTTTCTTTTAGTTGAGGATATTTAGTTAGGGATTGTTCTTTGGTTTTATTTGTTATTTACAATATTTTTATGATTTTTTAATCTTTTAGTTAGGAGTTTGTGTCTTATTTCATTTAGATTTTATTCTACAAATAACAACGCAATTCTTCATTTGAAGGAGGAGGAGATTTGATGAATAATTAGGGTAAATTCCACAATAACCCAGTCCCTTGGGGTGTTTCCCACTATATCACCATATACTTAATTTTTCGTACTTTAACGCACTTAACTTTTCCCACTTATCTTCAATAACTCCTTTATATTTTTTATTTTTTCCACTTAAACCCCAAAAGTTCAAACTTCAAAGTGTGTCAGATAATCGTAAAAAACAAGTGTGCGGCAAGTTAACATATAAGAGGGGTTATCTTGAACAATCTGGAGTTTGGGGGTTAGAATCGTTAGATGAGAAAAGTTAAAGGTACATGGGTGTTATCTGAGACACTTTGGAATTTGGAGGTTGGAAAAACTAAGTATTGGAGGGTATTGTGGAAAACACCCCATAGTGTTGACGGTTTTTGTGAAATTCACCCAGTAAAATTATGTTTACGTGAGAATTTGGTGGTGATTCTGCAAAGGCGTGAAGCCTCTCTTTTTTTTTATCATGAGGTGCTGTGAATGTATCCAGTCTTCTCTTTCAGCTCTAATATTATTTTGTCCCAGATTTAATCTCAGCCGTTGACCTACTCTTCTCAACATAGCTCCATCCAATCAGTCTGCTTCACTAGTCCACTGAAAGCACCTCATTAGGATCAAGAAGCATATCTGTAGGTCAATGTCAATCTTTGCATCAACAGATTCAGTATAAGCTTAAATTCTAAACAAATACAAACTTGTACAGGTAACATCTTCAATTAACGAGGTTAAAAAAAACTCTGGTGCGAGTATCCAAGTACTGTAATGTCAGATATGAGCATAACACACCACTTCATAGTAGAAATGTCACTGCAACAAAGCCACCCCTTCCATTTTATCAGTCATCAAAGTGCTCTAGCTACGGCCTACGGTATATTATTTTAATTGTAACCTAAGTAGAATACAACTTAAGCAATATTAGTAGCAAACATTCTAGTTAAGATGTCTCCTCGCATATTGACTTCCCCATATTTTGAGAATATTGCTTGGCATTTTAATATCTCAAATCAGCAAGTTCCAGACATAAACTGTAGCAATTCATAGGAATTCTTCTACACAGTAAGACAACACTCAAAAGAATCTCAAGTAAATTAGGAAGGAAAAAAAGTATAATTCCATAGGAGCATATAGCCACCTGTCAGCAGATGTGATATGGAAAGAAAATATCCAGACATGCACGAAAAAAATATTGATAGTAAAACATAACAAAGGTCAGTACCAAAGGAATACAAGGAAGCACATGTGTAATTCTTCATATTAGTTGTTCAGAGACTAGATAAAATTTTGAAATAGTAAACCAAGGGTGACATACTGAGTATAGGACAATATATTTAAAGTTCAGACAAGTTTTATAAGTTACTATAAATCAGATGTGTAACTAATCATGCCATGAACTTTCAACCATATATTGATGTGGCGGACATTCCATCCATTCATAGGTCAAGCACAGTTAGCTAGCAATGAATCTGATCACATCAGATAAGACATATAACTAATCGTTCCATGAATTTTCAACCAATATATTAATGTGGCGGTCATTCCAACCATTCATAGGTCAACCACAGTTACCTAGAAATGAATATGATCCCAGTATCAGGTTCACAGTCTGAAAATATGTTATCATCGTAAAGCTAGTTTTCATCACGCTTTTGTAATGAGGAAATGATAGAAAATTAGAAATCTTCAAAAATAGACTCTACATAAGTGGAAGGAAAATAGAGAAGCAGCAAGCTCCAACCAGTAATCACTTTATAACTAAGTTCATACCTTAAGAAGGTCAAACACCTTCTCCGCGATATATTTTTGCTGAAGATTTGCACCCTTCTGTTGCACTTTATCAGGATGGATACACAAGGTGGCTTTCCTATAAACCTTTTTCACAGCAGCAGCAGTAATTAAATCCGTCAATGAGACAGCTTGCCACCCACACTCAGGCCAAAGTACCTGATCACAGTTTGCAGAATAGGCAGATCTCAGCACCAAATGCAATGAGTCAGACTAGCTTTTCATGGGAAAAGGACCCTGTGAACTTATATTAAATATTTGAGGTGAAAATCAAACACAGGAACTGCTAATGAAGCATTAAGTTATCGGTTTCTCTTTGTCAGATATCAAGACACAACTTCACCGTAAAATAGGCAAAAACTAGTTGTTTATCAATTATTTGTTTAGTCTACACTAGCAAATCCAAGGCATGGCATGTCTATGCAACTTTGCATAGTGGTAAATAATCAATATGAATTAAAACATGTTTTTTCTCTTTCTCTCACCAAAAAAACATGATTTTTGTTCAATCTGATTGCTCAATTCTATTTCCCTTCCTTTGTCTCATGTTTGTGTGTAAGCTTTCGTGATCATGGAGATGTCAGTTAGGGGTTAATGCATATGACAATGTGGGTAGCTGTTACTGAAATATTTGGATATAGTAAGAATATCTATCAGAGCTTGGGATAGGTACAACAGTTATACACGTATATTCATGCCTGTGTGTATATATGTAAGATGTAAGAACATATGTGCACATATATATCCCTTGCGTGCTCACACATTAACGTACATACGTATACACAGCCAGATTGTATAGACAGCCAGATTGACTTATTGTGCATGATAACTGTAATAATATAATAAAAAAATGTAATCACTCTCGAGACCTTTAGAAATGCGATTCAAAAGAAAACGCCGAATAAAGGGTGGAAAAAACAATGGAAATGGCTCACTAGAAATGAAGACTATCTAAATTATAAGAAAGCTAAAAAGTATATTTTGAAATCGTATCATCGGAATTTTTTCCATTTGAGTTTTGCACAGCTTTTAAATCGTCAGATTCAGCATGCCTAATTCAACTTACCTGCGTCATAGAATGACTTATAGATCTAGTGAGGAAAAAGATGGTAGCAACATGGAAACAAGCAATTGAAAGAAGAAGAAGAAAGAGTAATGCACTTAAATTACAAATGTTAATTGACAAAATGAGCTAGAAAATCGAACAGATGCAAGAATAATGACCCACATATTGCAACGTCGATAGCAAAGCTCGCAAATTGCCTTCTTTCCCAGCTGCCCATCGTTTTATCTCAATATCCAGAGTTTCACCAATTCTCTGCCAGCACCGCAAAAGGCAAAAACGATAAATGAGAAAGGAAATAACAGAGGATATATCTAAACACTAATATCAAGTCTTCATAAAGTGAATTTTGCAAGAAAAACTTAATAGAACTATTTCTTATGATTGTGGCGTACATCTCTTTCTGCTTGCTCCCTTTGTGTTTGCATATCTCGCTCGTTCTTCTCAGCAAGAGCTTGTGCCTGGGAATAAACAGAATGCCAGAATAAGCAAAATACTAGAGTCATGGCAAACGATTAGGTTCATTACAAGTGAAATTGCATTAGATTTATGTCTCAGTTTAGAAAACATCATTATGTACTGAACAAACATTCAAGATTGCCATACCGCTCGCGCAAGTGTCCTTTCGTGCCTTTCAAGTCGGGCTCTTCTCCTTTCTTCACTCTCTCCTTCAATTTCTTGAAATTCTCCACCAGATGATGGCACACCTTTTGAGAAAATGATTGATTAATAAGATGCATTATACGCTGCATTAACACAGAATATTATGCTGTAATTTATAGAAGAATAATTGTTATACCCCCAAAAATGGAAGAAAGATCGTCCACAATATTTGTCGCAGAAGATGCTTTTCTAAGGCCAGATGAAGAAGCAGGAGACGTTCGCCTTGTGCCATCAGCACTGCCTCTGCTTGAAGGTCTGGTGTCAAAAATATTTTCCTAGTTATATCGAACCAGTTAGACAGGACTTGTTAGATTTACAAAGACGCTGATCTCAATGACCCAAAAATACCAAAAATAAGAACTTACCGAGGTTGTAGCCCTTTGTTTTGGTGTGCTATTGGGATGACCACCCAGACCAAAGAAGGACTCGAGATCATTTTCAGTTTTGTACTGTTTCTCTCTAGCTGCAGCAGCAGCCCTTTCTCGTGCTTCAGCATGAGCTCTGTCAATCGCAACCCTTTCAGCTCTAAGACGAGATTCTGCTGCAGCTCTCTCCCTCGCAGCCTTTTCCCTTGCTTCTGCAGCTGCTCTTTCAGAAGCTCTGTCACGTGCCTCTGCCGCTGCTCTCTGAAATGCAGCTTTCTCTGCACGTTGGCGTGCTTCAGCATTTACTTTATTGACAGCTGCTCTTTCAGCTCTTGCGCGAGCCTCAGCTGCTGCTCTATCACGTGCCTCTCTAGTAGCCCTCTCTACAGCTTGTCTATTTCTTTCCCTCTCAAGTTCTCTTTCCTTTTGAAGTTTNTTTCTAAATTTTCTCCTCTCTCTTTATCTCCCGTATCTTGTATGTCTGGTGTTGCTTCTTCATCTCTTTCTTGTGCAAATTCTCTACTCCTAGAAGATCTTGCATCTCTTTCTCTTACCTCCTTAGCATGCTTAAATTTTGCCTCAGCCATATCCATGGCCTCCTTCATAGCAGCTGCAGAAGCTGCTGCAGCTGAATTGGTCTCGTTGTCATGTTCACTCGAAAAAGTAGCAGCACATTGATTGGCCTGAGGCTTGTTCAAGGCAAAATCTTCAAGTTCATCTATACCGGTCGCACCAGGTCTCCTCACTGAACCTTTAGGATATGAGAAACCACGACTGGACTTTGAATATGACTCGTAATCCTTTCTTCTAGGACCAGTCCTTCCATATGGTACTGATTTAATGACAACTGGTGGAGGCGGTCTCGAAGGTGGTGGAGCCCTTGTAGGTTGTGTAAATAGAGGAATTTCAGAAACAGTAAGCCACACATCATCAACTGTTTCCAAATGTTCAGGACTGCCATTTGATTTCAGATTTTCGGGATTACTTCTAGAATCAAAGGGGTTCCTGGACTGTGTCTTAGGTATATCATTGTCAAAGGTCTCCACAAAGGATCTTTCCTGAGTTATATTTGGACCAGACTTTAGGGGACTCATGTCCTTCCGACCTTCATTTTTCTCAGATGTCGATGCAGGCACAGATTTTCCAAGCCCATCAAAAGCATCAATATCATCAAATACCCCCCCACTTAGAGGAGATGCATCACCAGTCGCACTTCCAGAGTTCATAGGCCTGCCAAGGTTTTCTAAAGGGTTGGTAGACATCCCTGATGAAGGATGCGCTGAGCCAGAAGTTGTTTCCAGAACTGCAAAGGGATCTTCTGGAACAGAGGCAGTTGCTTTATTGGACGGATCATCCGATTTTTGTCGGTTGGTCTCAGGATGATCTCTGATAGAAACACAACAATAATTTCAGAACAAGTGACAGTATTACAGCAAGAACAAGCACGCTCAGAATAAATGTCATGTGCTTATGTCATTGTATGATTATGACCAGAGGTGGATTCAGTAATTCTGGAAAGTGGCGTCACTACGTAATTAATAACTAATGAATCTACAATTGTCTTTGACGAGTTTCCATATTTTGAAAAAAGATTTTTTTTTAAGTTATTTATATTAGTAACTTAAATCTTCCATATTTGGAAATTAATCCTTTGAATCATTGAAATTGCTATTGAGTCTCTCAATACTTACGTTACTTTGAAATGAATCCCTCAAATATTGAAATTGCCATCAGGTCCTCCAATTTCTAACTTATTTTGAAATTAGTCCCTCCAATCAAGAGTAGGTGTAGCAATTAGAACGAAATTAGTCCCTGAAGTCATCGATATTTTCATTAGATTCCCCTAATAATATCATAATTTGTTTCAAACATTGTATTTGATAATTTTACCATTGATTTAAAGGTATTAATTTCAAAATAATTTAAAATTTGGGGGACAATAGAAATTTCCATAATTTGAGTACCTCGTTTCAAAATAATTGAATAATTGTGAGACCTAATAGCAATTTCAATGATTTGAGGGGCTAATTTCAAAATATGATAGACTTAAGGGACTAATATCAGAAAAAAAAAAGCCTTTCAAAAAATATATAATCCCAAACATGGGAGTGGGTCTAGTGGATTTTTTCAGTGGGTCTTAAGCTTGGTAGTGGAGTCGGTTTTTCAGATGGATGAGTTTTAAGTAGGGGTCGGGTGCATATTTGGGTCAGGGTCTTGTGGGTTTTTTAGTGGGGTCACCAAATTTGCTTGTGACGTGGAAATTTAGATTTGTAGGTTTTATATAGTATAGGGTCCTAGTTCTCCTTGAGCAAAGTGACCCCACTTTGCTTAAGTAGATACACCAATGGTTATGATAAGCCTGTTACACTCCAAATTTAAATTACAGCCCGGGATCTGATAGATCAAAACATCTAAACAGCAATGTGATATGTCTTCGGTCAGCCTAGCCATTTCCAGGAATTGAAGACTGAGTATAGCTACTTCAGAGCTGAGAAAGTTATGCCTGATATAAAATATGTTGCCTCCATTGCAGCAGCTGCAAAAATATGTAGCAGTAAAGCTAATATGAGTGGACATAGTATGAGCCATTTTCTAAAGTGTCCAATAACAAGTATGATTTCATTATGATGGCATGCCATTATGTTATACGATGAGATGCACACCGCATGTACACCTTAAAGCATGTCCATCAGATGACCCTAAATCTGGCTATGATAGTTGTCCCATAGGAATCAGTGTTATTAGGATGCATGTTTTTAGGAACAATGAAACATCTTTTTAATGGTTCTGTTTTATAAAATTTAAACCAATGTTAAAAATTTAAAACCATTCTTCTGATTAAGCTACTCCTACAGCCCTAAAGGATGGTTAAAGTTTGCTCCTACATTTGAAGTTATCTGTATAGATAGGAAAATCTGAGGTGTGCTTGCACACTTTTCATTATTCTCATCATAACTTCTCCGCTAGGTTTTTAGGAAACAGAAAGAGACTACTCTAATAGTATGGCTACCTTCTGACGGTGACTAATCACTTTACTCAATACATTCATATCCTTCATATCCCTCTCTACCAAAGTACACGGTTTTCTTTCGTCTTTGCAGTTTCTAGGGTGGGAACATGCATGACGACGGTAGCTTGGTGTTTGCATACTACAAAGAAGGCACCAGTGATCTCTTAATATAGTATTATAATTTGCTCTTTGAATCCCAACAGCAAATAGTCATTTATCACTTTGTATACACTATCTCTTAGTTTCTAACTTTCTAGCTTCATGAACCCAAATTTATGGCTAGTAAGAATACGACTATAAACATAATGGTCCTCGTATAAGAAAAGGTTTGCGTAATTTCTTTCCCAATGTTTCTACCCACATCTATCTATAAACTTTGGCACTTAACTAGGAGAAAGTATCATATGGACCCTGGTCCATAGCATTAAATGTGCACTCAAAGGATATGAACCCTTATATTAGTGCAAGAATCATGAAGTTTGATGATTCAAGAGTTGACGTCATTTGGGTGCATATTTAATGGCGTGGACAGCCCTGGCACTTTCTCCTTGATTAGACATGTGGCTTCTCATCTTTCCTGTTATTAATCATTTTTATTTCTTTTTTTTCTTCTGTATATGCTTTTTACGTAGCATGAAACCTTCTAACTTCCCATTAATGATTCATTTATAAATGCCCTCACAAGTACAACAACGTTATAACACTAAATCATGTGTATCACACGGGTAAAAACTACTTGGTCTTAAACAACTAATATAAAAATGCACTACAATTAAGATCCTAAAACAATCTAAATCAATCAAAAATTCAAAAAACACAACAATCCAACATTACATTTACCTTCGACTTGATGGGCTACTCCCTCCAAACCCAGAAATCAACTCCTCGAACCTGCCCAAATCCTCCGACCTCTTCGCCTCTTTCTTCGACCCCGAGCTCCCTAAATTCCCCAGCAAATCATCATACTCCCCGCCTTTATCTGCGCGTCCCCCCTTCGATAACGATGCGAAAACATCCTCGTACTCCACCTTAACCGCCGGCGAGCTCTTGATCCCCGGCGCCCCGTCGAAGATATCATCGTCGTACACCGGCATCGAGCTGTACTTCGGTTTAGGGTTAGGGTTAGGTTTAGGGTCGTCGAAGAAGGAGTCAAATGATGGGGGTTGGTTCTTGATAGGGCGCTTGGGGGGCCCACCGAAGACGTCGTCGAAGGAGGAGACTGGGTGGTTATTGGGTCGGGCGGAGGCGGATCCGGATCCGAGAGAGGAGGAGGACGAGGATTTCATGGGCGCGGATTTGCCCTGCGGGCGGAACCCGAAGTCCCGAGCCAAGAGGCCGGGGAAGTCCTCCATTGGGAGAGGAGGTGGCGGATCCGGGTAGGGACCGGGTTGGTGGTATCGGATCCGACCGGGTGAGATCCAATTGAGGTCCGATTGGGATCCGGCGACGAGGAGGGAGAGGGGAGAGGAAAGAGGAGTGGGGAGCTTAATTCGGCTCTTTCGTGTTTCCGGGGCGGGGCCCACGTAGGATTGTTGTTTTTCAGCGGGCTGAATTTGCTGTTTGCTGTTTTGGACTGGTAAAGAATGGGATCATGGGGATGGGGCTCTTAATACAGGATAATTATGGTAAAACTTAGAAGGAAAGGCTTTTAGTATTGGATGCTACTTTTCTGCAGGGGGCTTTACTCCCAATAATTTATAAATAGCATATTAATTGATGGAAAAAGCTAGATTCAGAGCTATTTTGATTTAAAAAAATAAGCACTTGGATAGTGCTAGAATAGCATAAGGAGTTATATTATTACATCTTTAGTTTAGAGACATAAAGAAGAAACTTTCTACCTTTCTACCTTTTTCATAGTTCAGAAGATTAGGTCTTCATTAACGTAAATTTAACCCACAGGGGTTCTCTTAAAAAAAAGAACATTTAGATAATTAGGGACCTTAGAAAAATTTTAATTAGCTTCCTAACATGAGAGCTCTAACGTTACCCCAAAAAAAGGGTTAGGATCCCTGTATAGAGTGCTCGGTGTTGGATTTAATCTAATAAATCTATTTGTGAGCACATATGATTAAATCAATGTGTATTGCTATCTTTCAGAATAACCTACTAAAGTGATCAATTAAGTTGGGTTAATGGGTATTTAAATATAATCATGGGGTTATATGTGCAGATACCAGGTTGTAATTGTGATTTATTGAGGGGCTAAATTACAAAAGTACAATATCTATAAATAAGGGGTTTTGATCCCTAACCTAGGGTTACACTCTCTAATTCTCTACACCCCCATCTAGTAAGAGAAATTCGGATTTAGAGGAACCCTAAGGTTAGAAGATCATCAAAAAACCCAAATCAAGTTTTCTTCTATGGATTCAAGTATAAGCTTCCGCTCATTTATGATTCTTGTTAATCTCTTTGAATTAATCATGGCTATATGGTTTTAGATCTCAAGTTTTGGTTTAGATCTAACAAGTGGTATCAGAGCCACATTGATTAATTCTTAGGGATTTAAGTTTTATTGGGTTTTTTGATCTTAAATCTCTGGTTAAAGATTCAGTTTTGTTTTTTTGGATGAACAGTAAATTTTTTGTTCGGATGAACAGTAACGGAAAGTTTTTCAGGTGAACAATAACTGAAAAATCGCCGTTGAACAGTAACTTTTTGGAATTTTTGGATTTTTCTTCGATTTTTCTTGGTCTAGATCTGATTTTGAAAAATAAAATCGAGGAATTTTTTTTGGTTTGTCGGCGACGGTTTCAGTTTGAAACCCTAAGGGTTCGTGCGTGAAACGTGCCGAATATTAAGGAGGTGGTTACCTCAAATTTTGGCGAAGCTGAAAGCTTCAAACGAACCTCGCGTTCGTTCAATTTTAACGAACCTCGCGTTCGTTCTAAGGTGAACATTGCGTTCAACTCAGGTGAGCGTCAAGCTCAATTTTAACGAACCTCGCGTTCGTTCTAAGGTGAACCTCGCGTTCAACTCAGGTAAGCGTCAAGCTCAATTTTAACGAACCTCGAGTTCGTTCTAAGGTGAACCTCGCGTTCAACTCAGGTGAGCGTCAAGCTCAATTTTAACGAACCTCGCGTTCGTTCTAAGGTGAACCTCGCGTTCAACTCAGGTGAGCGTCATGCTCAATTCAGTCGAACCTCGCGTTCGTGCTTCAGTTGAACCTCGCGTTCGTGCTTCAGTCGAACCTCGCGTTTATTTTTTTTAACGAACCTCGCGTTCGTTCTCAAAGTTGAACCTCGCATTCATTTTTCAAACGAACCTCGCGTTCGTTCTCAGACGAACCTCGCGTTCGTGCTTAAGTGAGTCTCGTACTCAATATAGTCGAACCTCGCGTTCGAAGTTAAGCGAACTTCGTGTTCACTATGGTTAAGCCTCAACTTTTCATGGGTCCACTTTGGTATACTTAATTTATTCAATTAAGTTATGGGCCCTAATTAAGCTGTGAGACCCCAATTAAGTTTTTGAAAATTCAGCTGATTTGAATTAAAATTTTTTAATTTAAATCTAATTTGGTTTTTTAATCAATTATTTAATTCAAATAATATGACACTAAGGAATTAAGGTTGTCTCTCACTCCAATTGATTAATTGAAACAAGAAGTTGCCAAAGTAACCTCTCTTGTGTAGATTGTTCATGAGGAATGTGAGATGTTTGTGTGTATGCTTTCGTGTAAATATTTAATCGGCCCAAAGGAAGGTTAATATTTATTTAGACTGTATACACATCTGCGATGATAAGCGTGTGACAATTATAAGGTTTACATGTGAATAATGAATCGATCCAAAGATAGTTTCATTATTTGACATGAGTTATTGTCAATGTTTGATCATTGCAATAAGGTATCACTTACAAGTTAATATTACTGTCCAAAGACTTGATATTAATGTTGTGCCCGATATCTTGGATGAGGATTGTCATTATTTGAATTTTATTGATTATGGTTATTGATGTGAGCTTCTTTTGTTTTATTTCAGCTAATGCATCTGCTGCAACAATTTCTGCTAACATCAACTCAATTCCCATGCTAAATGGGACAAACTTCAAGGTTTGGAAAGAGAACATATTAATTGTTCTTGGCTGCATGGATCTTGACTATGCATTAAGAACTGAACAACCCCAACCTCTCAATGCGGAAAGCACTCCTGATGCAAAGAAGGATCATGAGAAGTGGGAGCGTTCAAATCGCATGAGTCTTATGATCATTAAGTGCGGCGTTCCGGAAGCCTTCAGGGGCATAGAATCCGAAGGGATTACTAAGGCTAAAGATTTCCTTGCCGAAATTGAGAAGCGTTTTGCGAAAAACGATAAGGTAGAAACAAGCACGCTTTTAGCTCGCTTGATTTCAATGAAGTATAAGGGCAAAGGAAATATCAGGGAGTACATTATGGAAATGTCTCATATTGCTTCAAAGCTTAAGGCACTTAAACTCGATCTTTGTGACGAGTTATTAGTGCATCTGGTTTTGTTGTCTCTTCCTGCACAGTTTAACCAATTTAAGGTCAGTTATAACTGTCAAAAGGAGAAATGGACTCTAAATGAGCTCATTTCATACTGTGTGCAAGAAGAAGACAGGTTGAAGCAAGATAAGACAGAAAGTGCTCATTTGGCCTATGCCTCTAAGGATAAGGGCAAGAAAAGGAAGAATGATAAGGAAGCTGCTAAGGGTCCAGTTGAGAAGAAACAACATAAGGATAATCAGGGTTGTTTCTTCTGTAAGAAGCCTGGACATGTAAAGAAGGACTGTACAAAATATCACGCCTGGCGTGATAATAAGGGTACGTTCCTTGCTTTGGTCTGTTCTGAGGTTAATTTAGCTTCAGTACCTAGAAACACTTGGTGGTTAGACTCTGGTGCTACTACTCACATAAGTGTTTCTATGCAGGGTTGCCTGAGCTACCGAAAGCCAAGTGATGTTGAAAGACACATCTTTGTGGGCGACGGACAATCGGTAGATGTGGAAGCAATTGGGCACTTTAGGTTGTTGTTAGGAACTGGTTATTATTTGGATTTAAAAGATACTTTTGTAGTACCGTCTTTTAGACGGAATTTGGTTTCTGTTTCTGTATTGGACAAATCAGGTTATTCTTGTTCATTTGGAAACAGTCAATTCAGTTTATCTTTTAATTCAAATGTTGTGGGAACCGGTTACTTGAGTATTTATGACAACCTATATTTGCTTGATACAATTGCTTCTTACAATGAATCCTTGCATGTGGAATCACGTGGTACTAAGCGTAAATTAAATAAGGAAAATTCGGCGACATTATGGCATAAGCGCTTAGGTCATATATTATGGCATAAGCGCTTGGGTCATATCTCAAAAGGTAGAGTTGAGCGTCTTGTGTCTGATGGTATTTTAGATTCCCTTGATTTTTCGGACTTCAACGTATGTGTTGAATGTATCAAGGGAAAACAGACCAAAGTGAAGAGATTAGGTGCCAACAGATCTTCGGATGTCTTAGAATTGATACATACGGATATTTGTGGGCCATTCCCTACGGAATCCTGGAATGGTCAACAATATTTTATATCATTCATAGACGATTACTCACGTTATGGGCACCTATATCTTATTCATGAAAAATCTGAGTCTCTGGACATGTTCAAAGCCTATAAAGCTAAAGTTGAGAATCAACTCAACAGAAGAATTAAAACTGTTAGATCTGATCGTGGTGGTGAGTACTACGGTAGATATGATGGTTCACGTGAACAACGTCCAGGACCATTTGCTAGATACCTAGAGGAATGCGGTATCGTCCCACAGTACACTATGCCGGGTTCACCTAGCATGAATGGTGTAGCTGAAAGACGAAACAGGACTCTTAAGGATATGGTAAGAAGTATGATTGCTCATTCTTCTTTACCAGAGTCACTCTGGGGAGAAGCACTTAAGACAGCAGCTTACATTCTGAATAGAGTACCAAATAAAGCAGTTGCTAAAACACCTTATGAGCTTTGGACTGGTCGAAAGCCTAGTTTAAAGCATTTACATATTTGGGGATGTCCAGCTGAGGCAAGACCTTATAGGCCAAATGAAAAAAAATTGGACTGCAAAACAGTTAGCAGCTACTTTATTGGATACTCTGAACGCTCTAGGGGCTATAAGTTTTATGATCCCACTATAAGGAATATTTTTGAGACGGGAACATCAACATTCTTTGAGGATGTTGAGTTTGGGGGAAGAAATAAGGTTAGAGACATTAGTTTTGAGGAGGAATTGGCTTCAGATCCAATCCATATAGTTACTTTTGACAATATTCAGGTTCCTATACCTGTTGTTGCTCAAGAAGTAAATCCAGAACCTCAAGATGACAATGTTGAACAACTCCCTGTTCCAGAAGAACAAACTCAACAACCTCAAGAACCAGTGCCATTAAGGAGATCCACGAGAGAAAGGAGAAATGCTATTTCAGATGATTACATTGTATTTCTTCAAGAACATGAGGAAAATAGTGGAATGTTGAAAGATGATCCAATCAACTTCTCTCAGGCCATGAAAAGTTCTAACTCTCAA